CAAACAAACCATCTGATCAAATAATCAAGTATTTTGTCAATAACTTGAACAAACAGAATAACGTATTAGATCCATCAGCCAGGGATTGTTTCAGTAGGTAGCATTCTTTTTTAATGTACTCGAAGGTGTTTTACGACTCTATCGTCACTATTTACATTATTTAGGAGACGAGCTCAGACCCTGTCTGCAAGGTCCAACTTGGACCGAGAGGGATACAACATTCAGGCAGAACGACAGAGATACCCGATAAAGTTCTCCCCACTTGGGAATCGAATTCGGGTCACACTAGTTTTGTTACAATGGAGACGGACCCATGTTTGATTTTTTTTACCTGTTTTATAATATAATTATTCTACGAAATGGTTTGTTATATTTTCCTTCAATGAATTTGAAATGTTTTGATGATTTTTTTCTTGAGATAGTATTCAAGGTTGCCAAAAAATCAGGAGCGTAAGTCCACACTCCAGACACCAGCAACACAAATTTATATCATTTTACTGAAAATTCAACATTCTGTTTTATAGTATTTACATCTGCTCTTTATTCTGCGAAAATTCCATGAAGATTGGATGAAAAAAGGGAAAAGTTTTTCAAAAAAGGTATACACAAAAACCGAGTTTTGAGAAAACACACGATAAAGAAAATAATAGTGAGACTTTATGCGGATATGGTGGTGACTAACACGCATGACATGGGACAAAATAAGGCTTTAGGGGGTTCTTATACGATGAAATAGTAGTAAGGCTCAAGAAGTGAAATGTGCTGGCATCTCAAAGTTCACAATTTTTTTGACCCGAGCTAATTCGAGCCATTCTTCGGAAACACCACATCTCAAAAAGGTAAACATAAATCATCAGAGAAATACATTACCTAAAAGTCGTAGTTTTTTGTTGTTTGTTTTCTTTGTTGCTATCTCTTTTTTTTTGGGGGGGGGGGAGGGGGGTTGTTATTATTTTGCTTTCCAGCTAATTCTGGCCGCTCTGGGGTAGCACCACATCACAAATACCAGTATTTATAAACATAAATCATCAAACTCACTTTACCTAAGAGTCCTAGTTTTCATTGTTGTTGTTCTTGTTTTTGTTGTTGTTGTTGTTATTGTTGTTGCTGTTGTTGTTGTTGCTTTTTCGGGGGAGGGGGTATTTTTATTTGGGGTTCTTTGATTTTTTTTTTTTGGGGGGGGGGGTTGTTTTTAGGTGGGGGGGGGGGGGTTGTTGGTTTTGCTTTCCAGCTAATTCTGCCCATTCTGTGGCAGCACCACGTCTCAAATGTTTACCCACAAATCGTCAGAGAAACGTTTTACCCAAGAGTCCCAGGTTGTCCGAGGTGTCCGGCAGGTTGGAGTCGAGCACCTGCAAGAAGACGGTGAAGGACAGGAGCGTAGACACCGCCACGGGGAACTTGTTGGTGTCTCCGGGGTGGAGTAGATAGGCCACAGGGGACAGGAGAGAGATGAGGATCACGGGAAGCACGAGGCTGTACAGGAAACAAGGATAATATGATGATGATGATAATGATTATATAATAAAAGTAATAATAAGAATAAGAATAAATAATAATGATGAAAAAGAAGAAAAAGAAGAAGAAGAAAAAGAAGAAGAAGAAAAAGAAGAAGAAGAAGAAGAAGATGATGATGATGATGATGATGATGATGATGATGATGATGGTGATGATGATGATGATGATGATGATGATGATGATGATGATGATGATGATGATGACGATGATGATGATAGGCACATTTCCTTGCTATTACACAGCGCCCATTTAGTTTTTCTCTCAGTAGCTCCAGAGGAAGCCCAAGAGGCGAAACATTGAACATTGTCTATGATCCAATTTTAAACAATTTTTTTTTAATTTTTGTGTTATTTTGTATGAATATCAAACAAGACTCTCCCTTCTACTCTACTTTCCAAACAATGATGATGATGATGATGATGAAGATGAAGATAATAATAATAATGAAAATAATAATATTGCAAGTAGTAATAACATTATTAGTAATACTATTACTAATAACAATAATAATATGATAATAATATTACAATCATAATAATAATAATAATAATAATAATAATGATATTGATAATCATCATCATCAGCATCATCATCATCATCATCATCATCATCATCATCATCATCATCATCATCATCATCATCATCATCATCATCATCATCATTATCATAAAGATAATAATAATAATAATGATAATAATAATAATAATAATAATAATAATAATAATAATAATAATAATAATAATAATAATAATAATAATAATAATAATAATGATAACTTTGAAGGTATTAAACAATCACAAGTCCCACTGACCTAATCCCCACATAGCTTGATCGTCTGGAGAGCTTTATTGTGAAGCTGGCCCAATCATATGTTTCTTCCGTGAAACGGTAGCTTATTGGATGCAGTGAGTAACCTTCGTAGGTCACTTCATATTCTCCGTTCGCCGTCATGTTGCAAAGGCTGACAGGTTCAAGCTTCATGACAACCTAGACAGAAGAAAAAATAGCTGCAGGAGAGTTTCTGATACGCTAAAAGATGGAATGTTTTGAACACACAAGATAAGATAAGATAAGATAAGATAAGATAATATAAGATAAGATAAAACAAGTTAAGATAAAACAAGATAAGACAAAACTAAGATAAGAAAAGACTAAAACAAGACGGGGATCTTGAATCCCCTCCCCCCTCTCCCGGTCTTAAAATACGTCACCTGTCGGAGAAGCTGATCATGAACTCGCCCCCGTTGGTATCGGTACATGGCTAAATGAGGCAGTCGCAGAGAAATCGCTACTATAACAGCTGGGCTGCATTCATGCAATGTGTGACCTAAGCCTAGTACAGATATTATTCTCTCTGTTCTAGACCATGGCATAGACTGAGATCAAACTTTCCGCACGTAGGGCTGTGACGTCATGGGGCGGGGGGCGATGTGCACTGCGTCCAACAAGACTACGAAAAGATACGATAAGATAAGAAAAAATAAGATAAGATAAACTAAGGTTATTTATCTATTGAAGGAAGTTCTTTCTGATATTTTGTGTTTTTCATTTTTACACCTGTATATACATAATGATATTTTACATTCGATCCAGAGCAACTAACCTATTTAAGGGTTCATACAAGCACTGCCACCCACATAATTCTTACTCTCTCTTTCTTTCTCTCTCTCTTTCTCTCTCTCTTTCACACACACATACACCCAACAAATGCACACAAACAAACAAACGCACACAGAGACACACGCACGCCCACACACAGTGGCGTCTAAAAGAAACTTAAAAATGTAATCACCCTATCACAGTGTCAAAGCCTTACATTACCTAGGCCTACTTATGCAGCATACCAATTATTTAAAGCTAAATAAATCATGTATCTTCTGACGCATCAATAATTCATCTATTTTAAGAGACGCCTAGATGTTGTTACTAAAAAATTGACCTAAACAAATCAGGCTTGGCAAAATTGTGTGAAATAACAAAAAACGTAATATTGCCTTCGCGCGTGTATTTGAGAGCATCAATATTGATTGAATCAACATACATTACATACCCATTGAATGGAACATTTTGTATTTCAATAAACAATATTCTATTTTGATTTTTTTGTTACGATAGTTTTAAACAAAACGGAAAACAGAGCAATCACACATTACCATACAATACTTGGACTTAACATAAAGTTTTAATGTGCTCATTGTTATTTTGCTCAGTAGCCATTAGTTTAGTGTAGTTCGCGAACCCTTTGGATATCGACCCTATGACATTTTGGACATAAGTACCCGTCATTTCATCCCAAATGTCACAAAGAGTTGCAAACAAATGGTCTGAATTGGGCACAAATTCGCTTTTCTTCAGCTGCTTTTTCAAGGTACTTAGAATATCACCCTTCACATACCTGTAGTATTCACATCGGGGTTATTTACCGGTGACCACTCTAACGTTGATTTGATTAGGTTTTTCAAGAATTACTTAGTGGCATTGCCTGGAGAGAAAGTTCTTTGCTATGCATGGAGATGTCTTCTTGAAAATGAAACCATAACGAAAATAAGGGTAAGACATGACGTTCCAGCACTTGCGCGAATTAGTCCACTTAACCAATCCGTAGTGTGATTCTCATGAGCACGGTTTTATTCATTCCACCGCATACCACAATAAAGCTATGACAGTTTCGTGGCTTCTGTTCCTCACTGACAGAGGACTATGTACAAAATCTAAAAAGGGAAAAAGTTTAATTTGTCCTGTGCTGATAAATAATATGACCTTAAGGTGTGTGTGTGTGTGGGGGGGGGGGGGGGGGGCTACACCCCCAAAGTCAAAATTCGACTCAAAATTATGGAATTTGAGCTGTATGCATTTTTAGCTTCCAAAGCCTCTCCTACAACTATTTCATGGCAAAAGAACGCCCCAAAAACCGTATTTTTTCCCATACCGGGCTAGTTTGTCACCGCCGTTTCCTCATAAATTCAGTATTTTATTTTTCTTTATCGGCCGTTTTCTCAAAACGCGATTTTTCTCTAAACATTTTTTAATAACTCCACCATTTTTCGTCCAATCTTCATGAAATTTTCACAGAATGAAGAGAAGATGTAATACTAAAAATTTGTCTGTTGAATTTTTTATATTTGGAACCGATTTTTGTTTGTGGTGTCTGGAGTGTGGATTTTCACGGATTTTTTGCAAACTTGAATGCTACCTCCGGAAAAAACTCATTAAAAATGTTCTAATTCGTTTAGGAAAAAAACAACAGATAAATTTTTAGATCTAATGTTTGTAAACAGGCATGCAGAAAAATAATTAATTTCCATGAGCAATAAGTGCGGTATTCATTATGTAAGACATATCAACAAAATCCAATATGGCCGCCGTATCCATGGAAACAGAACTTTTTCTCAAATTTGATTGCCGATTGTAGGACATCTTACTATACTTGTTAAATGGGTGAAATTTGGTAAAATTCGGTCCAGTAATAAGCGAGATAGTCTTCAGGTGTAGTCCCCCCCCACCCCCTATTATGCAGTTCCGAGCGCCGTAAAACACACACACACACACACATATGACGTACCGTTGATTTGTCGTCCTGCCATTGCACTACTGTGATTGGACATCGATTAACATCGAATGGATATTTTGAAGGGTCAACCTGGTCAGAGGAGATGAGCATTACATTTTTTTTTATTCCTGAAAGTGACGAAATGAAAAGGAAAGAATAGACTGAGAAAAGTTTACCTAAATAGAATTTTTTTTAAAAACGATTTGGGGATGTTTTATATTGTTGCTGTCGTCGTCGTTGTTGTAGTTGTTGTTGTTGTTGTTTTTGTTGCTGCTGCTGATGCTGCTGCTATTGTTGCTGCTGCTGCTGCTGTTGTTGCTGCTGTTGTTGATGTTGCTGCTGTTGTTGTTGTTGTTGTTGTTGCTCGTGTTGCTGCTGCTGCTGTTGTTGTTGTTCATCAATGATGGTTTTTTGTGGTATTTTAAGAAATAACATCACCAGGAGCATAGGTCATAAAAATATCTCTCAAGATGCCCTTATCCTGTGCCTACTTCTCTTTCTCACGCCATATTGTACTGTCCAAATCTTCCTACACCGGCCTACCGACTTCTGTAGTGTTGTAGTAAGGAGCCTCGCAGTCGCAAGCAGGAGATCCGAGTTCGATTACCGTGTGGGGAGAATTTTTATCGAGTAACTCGGCCTTTCTGCTGGGATGTTATATCCTTCTCGGCCAGTTTTGGACCTGGCAGGCTCCTCTATGATCTATATTATCTTGTTGTTGGGGGCGTGAAAACTCGAAATCAAAACTCACAAGCACACACATTCACCTCCCCCCCCCCCCCACACGCACACACACCCACACACTCACAAACACAACACACACACACACACACACACACACACACACACACACACACACACACACACACACGCACAGAGAGAGAGAGATCACGCACACACACATAAAGACACACTCCCCCCCCCCACACACACGCACACACAGACCCCGCACACACACATAGAGACACACCACCCCGCACCCCCCGCCCCCCACACACACACACGCACACACACACACACACACACACACACACACACATACACAAAGTAAATCGTCAACAACCTTTACAATATCTGTGCACAACGCGCCCCAATACGCTCAAATGCGCCAACCTCTTTTCAGCTTGATTTCTTGTTTACGGCCTGTCCTTTGACAAGACTGGATTCAGGACGTTGAACTAAATGAATGCAACGGAAAAGGAAAAAAAAATCAATGAAAAGGGACAATAGTGCTGTCAAAAATTCGCGTTGCAGCTGATCCTCAAAGTTCTCTTTGACGGGTGAATCAGGGGCACCCATACTTTGCATAGCAGTTCGTATCAATGTGTCTTAACTAAACCATATTTTATTTTTAGAACAAACGGGGCTAGATTACCAAAAACGTTTCTTTATAAATTTATATAAAATATTTGAAATCTCTGTCACGCGTAAAATGGTATTGTTCACAGCACTTCCCGCTTCTCACACACATTTTCATTACGCATATGGCCTACGTCATAGCTCATCAATGACAATTTTTACTTGCAAAACTTGTTACAAGAAATTATTGTTATAGTGAACACATTTTTGCACTAATGGCTCTCAAAACATGCGTTCAATAAGCATAATGGCCCGATTAGAAAAACCTGACGGACTTGCTATTAAAAGTTATATTGCCCCAGCTGTAAACATTTGAAAATCTGTAGAAATCACCCACTTGGATTTTTTAATGAGTATTTATTAAGGAATGTTCTAGAATACATCTTGCAGGTGTTTACAAAAACTGATACAAGTAACTGTGCAAAAATTGGAGAACCTATGTTCGATAGTTGAGGAGATATTTGAAAATAAGTCGCACCACGAATTTTTGACCGCACTATAGTCAGTTTGCTGCGTGCACTGACCTTGCAAGCAAATTTTTGCACGAACTGAGGCTCCCATCTCACAAGGCCTTCTGATGACACGCCCACTCTCGTGTTCCCGCCGCTCATGAAGGTGTTGCTTTCCATACTGCTGACGTCGCCGGCCAGAGGAAAACCGTCAGAAGGCAAATGTTATAACAATTAAATATAGATCAGTGCCTGCCTGCACTTTCAGAGTGAGACGCCGTTTGTTTGTTTTTTAATTCAATTTTAAGAGGCACACAAATATTCGAGCAACAAATTATAAAGACGATTAAATTTAGAACAAACCCATCGGTAACGAAAAAAATGAGGAATGTAAAAGTAAAAGAACCCTGCAGATGATTAGCTTTATTTAGTGTACAGTTGGCTTTATGGGTGGTAGGTCGGCATTTATATGCCACATTTTCTTTTCAACGATACTGGCAAAGTCAGATGTGTTAAAGGGGGGGGGGGCTGGGGTACCCCCTGAAAGTCCCAATTCGGGTCAAAATCATGGATTTGGCCTCTGCAGCCTCTCTTACAACTATTTCATGGCATTAGAACCCTCTA